CATTTACACTGCACGATTCAAGTCGTATACTACAAATCGCACGAGACAATCGTGACGTGTAAATCAGCCTTAAGAGTTTACAGGTATTGGCTTATCGTTTCAAAGCTGTTTGGACACGCCATGTTTGAACGTCCAAGCAAATTAGTTATGACCGGATAAAGTTTTCGCTCCATAAATTTTTCATATGGATTGTATACGCGTCTACCTTCACATTACTTGCCCAGATCGATTGTAAAAGTGTCTACGCGAGTAGAGAGCAGGTCTGCACTACATTTTGCGGTTTTTTGAGTTTTTTTCTTAGTATAATCGACAGCTAAACATGGACTAAAGACTGATCTTTCGGAAATCACCATTCAACGCCCTTCAGGTACGCATTGCTTCCATATTATGATTTCACAGTAGCCTTATATGGAGAAAGACTTCATATTTAAAGAGCTATTGAAAGAATTCTCTTTTGCGGCTTCCGTAAGTAATCCGGCTTAGCTAAAAACATTGAAAACAATGCATTGGCAACTCTTTTTTGTGGGAATTTAAGCCTTATAAACGTTTGTTGTTGTTGCATTAAAATAAATCACATTTGGGTATMTTGGCTAGTTTAACTTCTTTGTAATTATATGTGAAAGGTTTATTTTGTGTTTCCGGCGCCATTTTGAATTTTAATGACGTCATCAAAATTCAATATGACCGAAGGCTCCATTTATAAATCAAGCTTGTCATCGAGATCTGGTGGACACAAGCTGAATAACTTATATATCACCATCATCCTTAATACTCTTCATCCCCTGTGGGACATAAGGCCGCCACAAAATATATCCATGCAATATTGTATATATAGGTAAATTAGGAAGCTTCATATTTAGAAAAGTTGATAATTTTTGAATTCGAAAGCGCTAAATTTAGTCCTGAGATAATCCAAGATGGCGRCAACTGTGACATTTTAATCAAATGAATGGCGTGCTAAGTAAAAGAACTGAATTTTTTCGGTTAATTTGTTTTACTTTTTGTTCTAGTCTGCCACCGTGTTCAAAATTACTAGCAAGACTTGAAATCTTGGCCCTTGTAAATTCTTGCAGCTCATTGCAAGAGCAAGAGGGTGGTACTTGGGTGSCGCCTGAAGGGTGGTCCGGCAGGGTAATAGCTCRGGTAATKATCAAACTGGATTGGCTCGAGACATTAGGCACCACATAAGCCTAACTGGTGCTTTTAAAAATGACTTGTGATTTTAACAATATTTACAAAGTAAAATTTAGCAAAGGTAGACTATTTATACTATTGTAATAACGTTGTGTCAGAGATTTTCTACGTTTTGGGACACTTCCAAAGTATGTCATGTTCATTGTGAAATGGCAGCTAATTAAATCTTCAACATACTAAGTACTAAAAGAAAAAATCAAGGTTACTTTAACTTTTTTTAGATGGTATTGACTCCAAGATGGGCACACAAAACTCATTTGGCAAAGTATTGATTTAGGCAATAATTATTAATTATTATTGATTATTAAGCATTTATTCTTGTCAGCAATGCTTGGCAATATGTCAGTCAGACTCAATTGTTCGAAAATCTTGAATACTGAAAACGTCCGCTGTTTACGGAGTTATATGATCAATCCGCAAACCCCAAACTCGAAACCGTTATAAATCCATGAAAATCGATCCTTTAGTAGTCCGTGGCGACAACTCGAGAAAGCTTACAAAGTGCTTTGAATTGGCGTGGCGCTTTCTACTCTAAAAATACTTCTAAAATATTTACAAATATACCTTGTTTTGGTCGTATACTCTAGCTTGGTTGCCCTTGTCTTGACGAGCTCATCAGAATGCGATGCCGTAAATCTAAAATGCTGTCCTCTGCGGTTGGGCTTTTGTACATAAAATGCTATAAATATCGACCTGTCTCATTATTACATCAATAAACATACCGAAACGTATCATTAAAAACCGCAGCGAAATACCTAAAATCTTTTAGCAAGCAAAGTGTTTCTTATACGACTTCTGATATACGCAAATTTCTTGAATCTTTTGCGTTGAGCTCGACACGTGTATTAGAATCGAGTTTTTCAGTGCGCAAACAATTAGATTTGTGAAAAAATAGTACATTTTAGCATTTCAAGAACTAAGTTAGTTACGCGATATTATATTCTTCTTTATAAGTAGGCTTAAAACATCTACCACACTGACAAGTTTTTTAAGTAGCTAAGAGATTATGGAAAGGTTTCAGGCTCATTTTATCAAATTTGATTTGCCTTTCTTTCTCTATATATACAAAGGGGAAGAAATCGCTAAAACATCACGCTCTAGAACCCAAAGCCACATTAAGAAACAAGTATGTTCCGGTTTATTTGAATGTGTGGCTTTTCTTTCAGTTTTAACTAACGCTGAACTAGCCCTGACTGCAATGCAATTTGATTCGAATAGCGGTCCATCAAAAACAACCACCAAAACACTTATAAAGCTCATTTGAAACATTAAATCTATGCCCAATATATAAGACTTGTTCTTTTGGATTATTATTGGAAAAATGTATTACATCATATCAAATCATTATTGTCATTGCTGCTCATGATTATTATTATGATGAAGATAACAATGACGAGGTCTTTTGATCGATTTTGAATCGTTAGAAAAAAGAATCACATGTTGCTACTTGCACAACTATAAAGCTACCCACACTTACTCATTATTATAAACTAATATTTTTAATAAGAAAAGGACACTTATATACAACGAGAGTGCGTTTCAGACAAACTGAGCGCTCAGCATGCTGCTCTTGAGAAATCGCTGTTTCGCTATAAAACTCCGTATATCTTCCGACACTCGAAATCAAAGCACGTTTTTCGCACAAACCAAGATGTTCTCCTAAGTTTGTAAAATACATAGCAGTTGTTTTGGATGGTTTAAATGAGTGACCTACGTGCTTTCTTACAGGCTAATTCTTCCAGTTATTAGACTATCACTCCGGAAATACACGGCGCTGATTCGCCAATTCGTCTCCGTGAACACTAAAGCGCCGTCGTCGTGATTCCTCTACATGTTATATTGAAATATTTAAAATGATCGCTTTGTAATTGGCTTAGAGTCAGGTCACCTAGCTAGTTGTATTAATATCTTGACTCTGCATGACATTTTATCTGGAAAACAATTTGAATAGTTRCACTTGTACTTTTAAACAGTTTAAACGGATTCTTAAAACTAGGTGAAATTCAAATCTTCTTTATAACATCGACATCATGACCACCTACTTCAAAAAGGCTGTCAGATAAAATGGCGATTGGGCAATTGTCGAACGCATATTTGCAGACCGAAAGGAGCCAAAGATTTTACTAAATAATGCGAAATGATGCTTAGTACCCTTTGTACGTACTGTAAAATGATCTGTGGTATACATTGGCTCCGTTAAGTCTTCATTTAACGCAGAATGAACTTTGCCGTGTGTCAAATATCGTAAACATAGTCCATTTCGGTCTTAGCACCGCGCCAACATTCGACAGACGCTTTCAAATTAAGGGGCAAGCTAAGGAATGTTAATAAACTCATCGAGCAATATCATAAAGTGCCCTCAGGTCCCTCAGGTCCAAATATCCATGTCTTAACAATAATTAAGTATCTTATCAATTTTTATTGATGCATTTTACCTCATGCATTTCAACATCTATTCAGAAAGTGGAATAAGTTGGATTGTTTGAATTGGCAGCAATAWTGAAATGTTAACCATTTTTCTCTARATCGGAACCGGTAAAATAGCGGGCATTACTCAATCATTATGGAYGATTCCTTCAACGAATTACTAATTGGTAGTCTTAGAGTGGCTTTGAGTGGCTTTCAAAGGCCCGGTTACATTTCAAGATGGCGCTTGGTCGAAACTCGGTAGTGAAGATGGCGGAGAGGAGCGGATACATGTAAATATATAAATTAAGAAACACGKAAGTCTTCAATTTTATTTCAAAATACTCACTCTGCAAACATGAAAGCGACAAAAGCACATTTATTTTTTTACAGGGCCATGCTCCATCAACAACCCCTTTTGAGCTTTCGTCGTTTTATATCTTTGAACTATAAAAATACATTGCGGTTATATAAGTCAAGCTTAGTCTTTATTTATGAATGGAGATATTGTAAATTTGACCTTAAAAACGCGAAGTATTGAAACGGATTGCGATTGAGTCACCTGAGCTTTAAATACACGAAATATCTAAAACACGCACGCATTGAATGCCGGTTGAACATCGCCCTTTAAAGTTCTTTTAGCTTTGGTTTGCGTTATTTGGTGAAAATCATCCTAGCGTCAGTCCGTTTTGTTATTTCTAATATACAGCAGAGTTGTGAAATACAAAATATTCAGACGTAACTGTACCCTTATTACTAAAATAAGAACCGATAATTATCATCAAGTTCCAATCAAGTTCCGAGCCTTATAAGTAGCCTGCGTTGCGTTCATCTTGGGATCTCTGCCGCTACGCAGGCTATCCTTATACGCAAGGCTACAATAGATATATAGTTCAATTTATATACATTCTTGCAGAAATTTGAAGCGATATTCCACACACTTCTTTGAACCATATCACCGTGAAATGCGTCGCGTCTCGACTGCGAGCTTACGTAACATGGGCATGACGCATGGCAGAAATCAGACGGAAACATCTTTACTTGTAAATTAGCATGATATTTTTTTACTGTTTAGTCTAATATATTTGACTCATAATGAATTTAAAGGAATCTCTTTATTAATTGAACCTTATTTTTTCTGTCATTATTATGAAAATTGATATAGGAGGTTGGAATTTACCCGGCTATATTTATATGCTCGTTTTATTTTATTTACCTCGAAAATTGCTATTCAAAGTTAACTACAATAAAAAGTCAATTTCGACCTYTGACCCCYAGAGAAAAAGCCCATCAAAATATGCTGACAAAGTCATGAATATTCATAAGCCTTATAAGAGCATAGTATATCATAGCAGAGAGYGATTTCATTTTGACTTTATATATATGATTCGTGACCACGTCTTATTTCCATGCTGATTCTGACTGTGAATCTATGGATTGTAAATTGAGAAAACGGGATTTTTTTGCGTGAACTCGAAAGTTTTCATAAACAAAGGGTCACGTGACTAAACACAAGTGGTTCGACATCTTGTTGTTCGACTTTGGCAACAAAAATCTATTCCCAAAGTGATGGGTTTTTGGTCCTTTTTGCGCCCCGTTGGTAACTCTATCACTTTATTGTAAACATTACGAGCTTATTACTAGAGGMCTAGCCTATAATTGAAGAGGACGTAGGCTGAAAAGCTGAAACTAAATTCCATTGGGGCTAAGATTTAAATTGAGTCGACAAGTTTGAAGTTTCCCCGCTTCACTCATGTCAGCGAAATGGCGAACCGTACTCATTCAAGACAGAAAAGCGACGACTCGAAGCTTGCTTTTGAGCTTGAAGAGGTTCAGTCCGATTTGAGCGCAGAGAATGTGGCGTTTTCACGGCCAAAGATCAACTTTCGTGTCGCGCGATGGGGAAGTCGGACACGAGAACGACTACTTTGTCTTATTGGCAAAGTTATAAAGAAAACCAACCTCACAGCCCTTTCAATTATTGTACTGTTTCTGGCGTTGGCCCTTCCTGTAGGCTTAGCTGTAATGACTTATTTAGTTTATCCAGTAAACGTAGATATCTCGCTGCAATCTTTTGAAATTCCGAGTCAAAATGCTTCCCTCAACGAAGATGCTTACTCGGTGGCGAGAAGACAGTCCAAGTACTTCACGGATTCGCTGTCGACCAGAGCTCGCCGCTCGGCAAATCCTTTGCCATATCCTCATTATGAAAAGGGAAAAAAGATTCATTGGTATAAACATACCCAGTACAGAAGTAAATGGAACGTAGACTTGATTTATTTGCCGAAGAATTCAGACAAGAATATCTTCACTGTGGACACTTTGAACGCTGCGCATCGCGTCGAGCAAAATATCATGAATTACCCCGGATTTCTAGACTTCTGTTGGAAATGGAAAATGGTTCGTATTGATCCTRTTTTATCAAACAAATACAACGCTTGCACACCGCCGATTTCTTTAATCGACTTCTTCTACCCAACCAAAAACTTCGGTGGGATGACATTCTTCGACGGTCAAGGAACAAATCTCACAGAGCGAGCTATGAAYAAGACCTTACAATATCTTCTCAGCAAGCAGTTCACGTACTGGTTTGTGGATAACGGTTTCTCTGTTGAAAATCGAAAGAGCTCTTTCCTGCGTGCTCAGATCAAGTTTGGGTATCCTCTAAAAGGCTACCAGCATAGTGGGTACAGTCATGGCGTTATGCTTCAAGAGCAAAAGGCAAAATTCGAGGCCTTCTTGGARAAATTTGTAAAGTTCTTGGACACGCAGTCAACTGAGTAAGTAAAAWTAAGTATCTAAAATGGAAATTACACCAAAGATGTCGCTTCTAACATCTTTATTGTTTAAGCTTAATTCATTAACCAACGAATRGAAATCTCAAACCAAATGTTGTTGTTTTGAAGGTTATGTAAGACTTAATGGTGCGATGTTGTCCTACGAAATCGGCCAAAAATGTTCTTACAACTATGATTTGATGATCCCCTTATATTTATTAAGGAAATTTTTGGATTTGGCTTATACAAGCATGTGTTAATTGATAATATTGTTAGAAATTTTACTTTTACAAAACAACATAATTAAGTTATGTAAATATATGCTAATTTATTCGTTTGACGATTTGATGCTTCAAAGATACAACAACACTAAAAACAAAAATACAAAAACAAAAAGAGCTGTATCCCTATCTTACACGTGTTGATATGAAATAGCAACAATTTCAACAGAAAGACTTTTACTTTTTTTAGAAAAGAAAGAAAAATAGAAAAAAAGAAAKATTACTTTAGGGACAAAAAGGAGGGATTCAGCCCCTTCTGCCCTGTTCTTTGCATTCATTGCCAATAATATAGAMGTTCTTATTCTATTTAATAAGGCCCACCATAAGTGACTTTTCTTAGTCTTTAAAACTTGCATATATTGTAAAAGTTAAGATCAACAACAAACAAACAAACAAATACAAGAATCATATCAAACCTCACGCCTTCTTTCATGTTAATCAACTCCTTCACTGTTTCTATTGTATTTTCTTCATGAATTAACTATGATTTTGATAATTATTCTTTATTTTTTGTTGGAGATAGAGAAATCTTGTTTTTATAACCCAGTTGGGTTCATACCTATCAAGGCAATATCATTAACTTGGTTTTATASCTTGGGGCTGTTGCAATATTGTGCTCCAATATCATTTTCAATGATAAGTTGAAACCGGTACTGAAAATTGATTTTGCTAGCCAGCTGGCAAGACCAAGTATTTCAGAGTCTTTGGGAAAAACAAGCACTTAAGTTTGTAAATGACGTTATATGAGATTAAAAAAAGGCTTCTGTTCATGACATCAAAGCCAGTTAAGATAAGACTGATATCTATAGGTCAGTAAACATTTTGCTGAAGAAAGCCAAAGTGCCGAAACGTTCTAATAAAGAGTGGAAATACTAGTTGCAAATTGTGTGCCTTTTTCTTCAATTTATTCAATTTATATGGTCAATAAACATTAATATAGCAAATTCAATAGCTCTTATCGCAGTGGAGCACGACATTCTGACCATCCAGCGGTATCTTTCGAAAAATAGCATCAAAACGAGACTATCGGNAAATGTTCACTGCAGAGATAAGAATTTTTTGTAACTGGAGTATTTTCGCGGCGTATTTTTACGAGCCACTCGGCAAGCAACTTCTTGTCGTTTAACGGCAACAAATGCCATGATAAACCGCTGCATTCAGGTTTAGAACTTCTATTTGAGCACCCATAAGCTATACAGTGCTTCACCATAGCTAAAATTTGCTTTATATTCTAGCTTTAAACAGATTTAAAACAAAAACACACAATGGTCCATAGATTGTTTTGAAAAGAACCGGGAAGCTCGACCCGATAGTCTCGTTTTGATGCTATTTTTCGAAAGATACCGCTGGATGGTCAGAATGTCGTGCTCCACTGCGATAAGAGCTATTAGAAAAAAATATGATCACTTTACGAAGCTGTTTGATATWAAAAAGATTATTAAAGAATAGTGTTTGTCATGCAAATAAGCATATGATACAAATGAATCATAAAATAATAGATTTTTTCGTGGTTAAAACCAAAGTGAGCAACATGTTTGCTTCAACTCCGAAATGAGCAACTAGAGTGCTAAGTCATAACAAAATTATGATTTTTTTTTTCACTAGCAAAAATTATTTTTCTGATATGGCAAAAGGATATTATACAAGCTCAAAAAGGACAACTTTTAGGATTGTTGCATGATTATTCCTCCCTTTGGTTCAAAACCACAGGCTCCTGTCGTAACTTGTTTTCTAACCCCAAACAGGGCTATTCAAATTGCATCAATAAATTTGACAACCAGCATTCCACATACCTCAYTATGAACATGAAAAATATAAAGCAAAAGAATTGAATAAAAAATATGAAGCTACCATATTTACAAAATTAAAACATCTTCATGGAAGATTTAATTGGTTGCTGTGTTGGTAATTGTGATACCTTAGACTTTCACAAAGTCATTTTAACCTGAGAAGCTTCTCGACGGGTGAGAAAAGTAGCTCTGCTGGCTCACTTTATTTTGTTAAAAAAAGTTTTGTTAAAAAATTTGTTCTTGAAATTTTCTTTATTTTTTGTGAGTCCAAAGAGAGGCTGACTTGTCGCAAGTCCAGTGTTACTTTATATGATAAAAAGGCATTAAAATGATTAAAAAATTACACATAGAAACCAAATGACAACTAAAAAGTCATGGGCTGGGATTATTAATTAAGCTTTTTATTGCAATAAACTAGAAGTAACTGGTAGATTTCTTAGATTGTTATGAAAATAAGCATTTTGGTCATGATAATAATATCAATRTTTAAAAGTTTCAAATTTCAAGTCAAATGGCAAGCATATGGCTTGTGTTGATTCGTAAATGATACTTGTTTTTATAAAGCTTTTAAAAGAGGTTGATACCATTCTAAAAAGAAAATTAATAAAGTGTCAAACTTGTGAACACATAAGGATTTAGTGAATGCCTGACGATACCAATCAATGAGCCTTAAATACA